GAAGCCCCATGTTGCACTAGAAGCCTGAGGGACGAATCATATTCGTAAATTCCAAAAGCCAGTGTTGCTTGATTTGCGGGCAATTCGTTTGATCCACTCATCAAACGCCAAAAAGTCACTCGTATTCTCTATTTTTACTTCTTGAAGTGCGTGACTGTTGACGTACACTGCTAAACCTGCCTATCAATTGTGGCATGTCTTGAAAGTTCCAAGCACGGGTTTGTCAGCTCAGCACTATTTTGCAAAATGCAGCAACTCTATCACTGAGAATATGGTGGGCTATTTGGTGATCTTATTACATTGGAGTCCATTGATGGCATGCAACCCATCGACCAGTTCGATAAGTGAGTGAAGAAACCAATTCCTGACGCGAATCCGTAAAAGGATTTTCTTGATAGTCAGTTAACTATTCTTCCCAAAGAATCCGAGAAAACTCTAAGGACTTAGAATATCTCAAGTAAATATGCAGGAGTGTACTAGGATGCACTTGACACAAGTCGCATCATTCTGAAGCAGTTAAACGTCATCTGAATACAATATTTTTTGTGAATTACTTGTCATAAATATACCACTGGTTGAAGTTGTCCATCAGCTTAGTTGAAAATATGACCGTCTTGAGTCGGAGCCAGCCTGACAATAAGGGATAATTCATTTTGAGCAGTAGATAAATTATCAAGTTCTTACGAGTGCACTAGTAACATCGGATACTGTATGTCCTGATCAGCTCGATGTGGAAGTAGTTACCATAAGAGCCTGTTTTCCATTTCTGTGAAAAGTCTATCAAATTTAACGGTTGATATGAAACTCAGAGTGTTGTAAATCTTTTTATTTTCCTAAACTAAGCCAAATGATTTCAGCGATAACTTTGTGCGCGGGTTATACGAAAGTGTGTCGAAAACTCGGTAATAAACGTTATATATATTTTTCATCTATTTTGTGAATTGATGTTGAGTGCACAGTGTTTTAATAAAAACTTTGGTCAAATTCGATACATTATTTGTTTTGCCTCTATTACCGCAAGATTTTAGTGGCTTTTGGTTTCATCATATAGGCGTGATGATCGGAAATGTTTGAGGTTGTTCTACTTATCTTTTGGGTGGGATCAAGCTGTCAAGATCCAATTTTTTTCTGTCTGATTAGCCAGTGAATGTTAACTTACGTTGACTGCGTATTCCGAAGCTTTAGTCAAAGCCATGTACTTCACACAGAAGTGAATTTTCGCAATCAGTCAATTTAAACTATCAAGCATTACGTATGGATGTTACTGCTTTTTGTTTTCTGATAGAACATTGGACTATTCTGGGGATGAGCTACTGAAAGCCTCTTTATCTCTGATACTACTTGCGAATTTTATAAACTAGCCAGGTGATTTTTCTAAGCAAGATTGACTTTAAAAGTTTTTGAATCAGTGATTCACATTGCTATCCTTTTTGTGCCTTCTATTTCTTACAAATTTGATTCATTTTAAGGTATTTGAATTATTTCAACTGCTTGTTAATTATGAATAAACAAAGTGCTAATAGATTTCACAGAATACCGTGAACCATCTGAATTCCTAACGCGCTAAAGTAGAATTAGTAATTTTAAGTGATATAACGTAGCATTCTTTAACATGCTGTAAGAATGACTGGAGAAGGTAGTTTATGATCCTGGAGCAGGGTTGGTAGTGTTTGTCGAAGAAATAGGGGATGAGAACTGCAGATCGAGGGGAAAATAAGTATCAGTTCAGGCATGTGTTATTTCAATATTTTCAAGTTGCTTACAAATTTAAAGTTGGATACTTGTCAAACTAGTTATTTTCTTTAGAATTCTTGAGATTGTATTCTTCTTTATAAAACACTTTAGTTTTTTCGGAAGGAGCTTTTGTAGCCAAAAATGGAAGTACGGTTTGTAATTGTTGTTTTTTCCGTCGCTTACCGTCATATTATTTCTGTGAATTCGCAACCCATTTTTTCAAAGGATTCAGAGTACGTTATCTAACTAATTCTTTGACCAAGAATGTCAGTTTTGAGGCTATGTTTCGGGGATGAGATGGCGTGAAACATTAAACTTGTCCCAGATATTATATACTTCCAGACTTGTAGGAGCTCATGTGAATCAACTGTAACTTTTCAACGGATCTAGTTCGCTGAGCCATAATATGAAATATATCTGACGAAGGCAGGAATATTGTGAGGAAAATAAAAACGAAGGTGAAAAGTAGTGCTTAGCTTCTAACTCGACTGGTATGTTGAGGAGGCACTAAAATAGCTCAGCTGAGTTATTTATGGTACTGATTACCTCTGAAGACCATTTTTAATTTTACAGGTTTGCACTTCAGTCATAACTACTAACTTTTGTGTATGTACCCTTGAATTCCTGTAACCCATATGACTGTTCTAACTTAAAGCAATGAAAATCTTTTAGAAATGCTTACAGAATATGTACAATTACGTGGTTTTTACCTGTTTTCGATGGAATAACAGAATCAAGGACTTAGTTGCCTCAGGAATATTCATGACTGTAAAGGTATCCATTTAAACTAAAAAAATTAAATAGATGCTCCGTTGGCATTTAATTGATTCTGTTAGATCTCGAAAGCATTTGACATGTTTTTCAAGTATTTTTGCTAGAAATTAACTTTCGATAGAAATTGCTTACCAATTATTCAATGTGGAGTTCAACTGAAAGTGCAGAAATTACTTATTCTCAGATCAAGTTCTTAATGGGATTTTCGATATTAGGAAGGAATTTAATAGGTGAAAACTAGACCATTGTAAAAACAACCTGAATAGTAATAACTGAACAGCATGTTTGATGAAAAAATAACGGAGACTATAACTTCATTTTAGAAACTTTTTGCTGCTACTGTACTAGATTCTTGACTTCTTTAGCAAACTGTAGTTTGGCCAGACTAAATGGGTTGTATTCACAGACATTTATTTAAAGGCTTAGATAGAAGTTTAAAAAATACGGATTTTTGAGTATGAAATACGAAAGTAATATCTTTTTGAAAAAGTTAGGTGAAAGTTGTTAAATTAACATAGCTTCAAAACGAGGAGGCTGAAGACTAAGTATTCACGAAGGTTTTGTCAACGTGTATCAAATTTGCAAGCTTATGACTGCATTACGAGGTTAGAGATACATATTGTTTCCGACAGTTACCCCCAGATATCACCTGAGGTTTTCATAAGTGTTTTATTATCCCTTAGGAAAGACAAGTGAGTTAAACGAGTGCAACTAGAGTCTCATCATGGTCAGCTGTTGGACGTGGAGATTTCTGTGGTCTGATAGCATCTCTAGTGATCATGAACATTCACATCCGTAAAACACTTATAATTAAAATAATACTTGCCATACTTCACTGATCAGCAATACAACCTGAATAACTAGATGTAAGTTTGCATACAGCATTATCTCTCAACTTGTTTAGTAATTAATAATGATAATAACAGCTTTACTTCAAACAGTGTATCTGATACAGCATGTTATTCTCAGCACGTAATAAATTAACGGATTCACTCCCAAAAAAATATTTTTAAACAAAAGGATTATGGCGTCTGAATGATGTTCCAAATAAAGGCATAAAAAGTAAGAATGGGAATCAGCCGGCCGGTACTGGATTAGCGTCGGTGTTCAGTGGTGGGGGTTCGTTCAGTCAGCAGAAGAATGTACCATTCGGGATAGCTATCCAAAGAACAGAAATACGGTGTATTTTTATGCATTCAAAGTCCATTTCCGTCTAATGTGACACTTTTCTTAGTTTCAGTACCACCTCAAAAAATGACTGGTTCAGAACATTTTAGAAATTCACAGGAGTACCTGATACGCCTGGGATACATATTCGAGAGATTAAAATAAGCATAAAGAGAGGAATTCGACACAATATGTCTGGTGGAAAATTTCACTGGGAGCCTGAAGTTTAAACTGGCTGCCGAAGGCTAACATGTGTTTACTGTCGGCATTTCTTGTGTTTCAAGGTCAAGCAAAGACTGGCTAATGAGTAAACTTACTGTAAGAAATTACGTTTGTCCTAGAATTTATTCATTTAATCACTGTAATGCAAAGTATTGCATAACTAATTATCAAGCCAATTCTAAATAACCAAAGTCGGCCATTGTGGTGAATTTGATGGCTAAAAGTGGGATTCAGGACGCGCATTTCGTTCTATTTAGGATTTGTCAGTTAGATATACCTGTACTCCAGTAGGTGATGTTTCCACTGAAATTTAAACCCACTAACCATCGCTTTAACGCCAAAGCATTATGTACTAAGTCACTGGGGCAGGGGTGGAGCAATTCAGTCTAGTATATCCACGGGAAATTACAAGTACTAATAAACAGCAGCTGATATTCATTGCAAAAGTGGTCGCTCTCGCGTGTCAGCTGCTTAGTGGATAGCGCTTAGGCATTTAAAGCGATGGGCACTGAGTTGAGTCTGACTGGGAACAACATCACTCACTGAAGTCCAGGCACATCTAGCTGATGAGTTCCGAATAGGACGAAACGCTGGTCCTGGGTTCTGCTGCTGGCCACCAGGTAGGTTACAATATAATGAATACCCAGAAGGTGTCAAGGTGTCCGCATAGCAGCTCATCTGCTAACAGAGGTTGAGCAAGTAGATCCAGTGTCGCAACGGGAGAGTTTGCATTTGCCTCAAATACAAGACTGTTGGTACTGAGCTTAAATTCATATAAATCGCTTGATTATATTAAGTTGCTTTTCTCCAAAGGGAGTGATTTCAGCTTTAAGTACTCTTTCGGGTTGGTAACAAAAACACATGGTTTGCTGCCGAGCCTCTTTCTGTCAAAACTCCTTAGCATTAAAATATTTTTACCAGTTTTTGTTGGTTCCAACCCGTTAAGTACATATATTTCTTGATTTAACGTTTGGCTGCTTAAAACGATCTCACATATGTATTTACTTACTGCTGCGGGACTAAATCATTGAATTTCGTTATATGATATTAGATTAAAAATCAGGCACAAGCAACTGCATAATTAATGTTTTTATAATAGTTTTATGCCAAAAAGGAGTGGCGGTGGATATTCAGAACCTAGTAATTGTTTGCTAGCTTTCTTTGAAATAAATGATTTTATGGGTTGGAAAGTAGTCTTCTCAGTACTATTCTTATGATTCATTGTATGTCTGCTGTAAAAGTTTCTGACTTCCTCAAAAGAAACTGTTGTTTTTGAGAGATATTTGTGTACATATTTTTATTATTCAGTTTAATAAAGTCAAATGTTTTCTGATATGACGCTTTAACTGGCTGAGTATTGCCTATTTTCTTTCAGTTAAACAGTTTGTACGCAATGACTCGATCTTCAAGAAAAATTCATTCTTCATCATCTATCAAGTGCGATGGTGCTAGTGTTTATAACCATTCAGTGAAATCACCTCCTCCAACTGCTCTGTCCAGCGAAACTTCCATTGCATGTGACTCTTTAATTAATATAGTGGACTTAAGCCGATGCGCATCACAAATTCGGAACCAAGCGAAGGATACAAAATTAAATACCGTAGATATGCTGCATGGTGATGAAATCAAGACAAACAATTTCGTGAATATGTAAAGCCGTTTAATGAAAAAATGTGATAACTTGCACTTCCAGTGATGCTTCTGACCATTTATGTGTTTATAGTGATTCTAATCAACTGACCCAACTGTCAAAGTTTAATCGAGATGAATATCATGGCAAAAGTTCATGTTTATCTGAAAAATATCGGGTCCCAATTATTAACAGATTAAAAAGACGTTCCAACAGTCTACCAGATTACAAGGCAGATTTTGAAAAAGAAACTACTTTGAGTTAAACTGCAAGCAAGACACAAATGGTCGTGACAGAACTGTGTCAGATGGAACTTCTAGAAGTAACAGTGATAGTAATTCTGAAAAATTATGTGCTGACGATTTCAATTTAAGTTCTGTTAATGAGAGTTTCAAAAGCACTGTCATTATAGGTGAGGTTGCGTATGAGAAAAAGAATACACAGACAAGTGTAAAGACTGAAGTAGACGAAAATCATGATAGTTATGATTCGAACGAAGCCACTGATGAAAAACCAAATATTGAGGTATCCAATGGAAGCAATATGAAACAGGAACATGAATCTCAGGAGAGTGATTGCCAGCTAGCGTATCCGGATAACATATTTGGAGACACTCAAAATCATTCTGATAAAACTTGTAGTGATACTGGGGAAAATGACGTTTCTAAGACGGATGAACAACCAACTATGGACGCCACCTCGACAGAAGACAAAAGGACAAATCTAATTATTAACTATCTGCCACAAGATATGTCTCACAAGGAAGTTATGGAACTTTTCGAAGCAATTGGTAAATTGACAGTTTCAAACTAATGTGTGAAAGAAATACGGGTAAATCTCAATTAAATACATATGTGTAGTTTTCCTTATCCGGGATGTCAAATTCCTTAGTACAAGTGAATAATATTCATACCATCACTGTAACAAAAAAGTGCTAAACCAGTGAATCACCAGTTCCATAGCTTGTATGCAGTACACATTCGTCGATTATTTTATTAATGATGTCATAGCCTTCAGTGTTCTCAAAAGTTACCAAAACTTTGATCTATTCATTAGTAATAAGAGCTTATAGTGGTGTATTCACAAGTCAGTGGTTTGTAAGCATAGGCCCTCGATAAGCACTGACATGTCAAAAGATGTTAACCCATAAAATGCAGTACAACGTGTAGGCATTAGCAGTTGCATCTTATAGCAAAAGTGAATAACTTGTTCTTATGAAAATATATGTTATATTTTCAGTCAATGAGTCTATGGAGATAATTATTAAAATTTTCGAGTGAATCTAAAATTAGGAAGAAAGAGAGAGAGTGAGAAGAAGGAAGATGAACAGACTGAGAAGTACATTTTTTGATGCGCTTTCCGAGTTATATATTATTGATATAAACAATTGAAATTGTAGTTTTACTATTGGGAGATGTTTTAATAGTTTCACAAACTTAATTTTCAAAAACTTACATGACCATTTAAAGGATAAAACTGAAATATAAATAAATAAAAGCTGGACTTCACCTGACATTTATTTGCAACGCATTAATTGGTTAAATTAAATGGACTCTTGAAAATTCTCACCGAAAACGTTATTATAAGCACGTAATTTGAGTTACTTAAAAATCAACTGGCAGGTGTTTTGGTGACTATAAGCCTGGAAAGTAATACGGCTCAAAACGAATTTCTGATAAATCGTAACTTCTCCCTGTTAGGTGTGGTATACCAAGGTAAGTGACTGATAACATCATAGAAAGTTGAGATGTTTATGCTTACTGGGATAAATTTGATGGTTAGCTGAGTGTGAAAAATTTATATGCATGAAGCTGAATGATTGCTTTGAGCATAAATCAGTCTTTAGCTACTAGGTTTTTAGATAAATTTGTGTTTTCAGTCCAAATTCAAAGCCTGTATATGTATATTAGCTTTTATTTGCGTTAATTGTGCTCTTCAAAACAAACAACTTTTAAAGAAAGTGGACTTTATATGGCTTTATCGTCATGAATATTTGAATGCAGCTTTGTATTACAACGTTGACTGAGTTGAGTGAGTACCTAAGATAAAGAGAGTATAGCTCGAATTCTGATTCTCATTTTGAACCTTTTAGAACCAAGTATATTTATCAGCATCTGTGTGTTTCATTTCCCATTTTAATACTGTAACAGTAGGACGATAACGAAGACTCTTAGGTTTGTTCTTAAAAGTTATTCTCAATATTTTTGTTTCTGATAGCCCTCGTGTTTGTTTTTATTGAACTGTCAAGGGATTAGATCAAAGTTAACTTTCTGCCCTCTCTGATAGCGACACTATGCAATGCACCTGACAGGTAAAAGCTTCTAATATGGATTAAATTATTTGGTAGGAAAAAAAAATCCATATTTCTAAAAGTCTGTAAAGTTATTCATAGAGTCCCGAGAGATTTGAAATTCTAGCCGCTGTGTGTTAATATTCTAATGTATAAGGCAAATGTTTAAAATTATTTAAAGTTCACATAAAATGAGTATAAAACGAGTAGTTTGTACTTAAAATTCATTTAGATGTCGTTGAAACTAGTGAATACACATGATTCTGTTGGTATCGATATCGATTTTAAACAAGATATGTATATGCCAGAGTAGGGATGTTAGTACTTAGTGTGTTAGAGCAACAATAAAACAGATTACTCAAACTTAAGTATGAAGATTAGAAAACAGCTGTAAACACTGAATTCAGACAGATGAAGCAAAGGATAGATGGGTTTATTAACAGTGGGACTAACAATAATCAAATCTGAAATTATACAGCAAAACTTGTAATAATTCTAAATAGAAAGCTTAAATTGAGTTTTTCAGAGGATTATATAGAAAGAATGTCGTATTTGTAACTTACATCTCGGGCTTCACTCCTAGCCATTGTATATCATTAGTACTATTGGTAAATTACATTAAATGATCGTTTGTTAGTGTATTCTGACAAAATCTGTTTGTTAATTCGACGATAAAAGCATACGAAACATTTTTGCACCTAGCTACTTTTTGTCGTCAATAGACAGCAGGATTTAAAGTCACCAGTTATTAGAGAAAATGACGTATCTATCCACGTTGTATGGTTGATGCCCATTAATCTTTAGTTGATCTTGACAAAAATGTTAGTAAATGGGGTAATGAGCGTCCTAACTTCCAGTACTAGGAACGGTTTCATTGATGTTACCGGTATTTCGTGAAGTGTATCACGATTCAACCTGATGAGTTCCAAAGTATTGTATTTTCCAGTTTTTCTGTGCGTGTGTCAGAATATTTGAGTTTGGTGTCGTTCCTTCTGGCTATTCAGTGTTTTTGAATACCATCAATCGACTTTCTGTCGTTTAATTTTTTACTGTAGTTCAACCGAATAACAAAATTAAAACAAAAGACAAATATATTGTCTTCTGTAAATAATCAAGAATTGTGAAAATAAACGCAAATTAAAATTTATTCTTGCTAAAAATTATTTGTAATACTCTTCGGTGAAGTTGATATTGTTTAATAAATATGTTATTTTGCATTATTTGTGATGAGAAATGTATCCATTCCAAAGAAATGAATCTGTAGCTTAGGGTTATCGCACGAATACTTCCCCATAGATTGTCAATTACTTGATAGGGCACACTAATTAGGCCCATCTAGTTGTCAAATATTTAATGATACTGTACTCCATTTGTTGAAGATCGCGACTGATGGATGCTACCTAGACGTGGTGATCGGTCTTGTGTCTCGCAATGAGCCAGCGACCAACACTGTGTAGAACGCTTGTACCCCTGAGGTTCTAACATACCAAAAAGGTCTTTTGGCTAGTGGTAAGAATAAAAAGCAGTTACTGTTATAGTGTAATTTACCAGACTATGGTGGGGCCTTAGGGTGAAAGTCATACTGCTGGCTGAATGGGGTGTGAAAACAGTAAGTTGTTTCCCCTGGATGATAAGCAGTTCCAAGATGAGGCTGCCTTCTCAATAGGACGGGGGGTTAGGAAAGGTCAGCCCCAAAAATAGCACACTCCTACCCACATGGGGTGGAGTACATGTAAAACACTTAACTTTAGAATAAGAAGATGAAAGCAAGAAAGAAGATTGAATTGAGGTAGATAGGTTATGTTCCACTAGTCCCTGTAGATCAGCGGAAGCTTGAGGTTGGTTGATATCTTTCAGCTGCCGACACCGTGAAAGGTTATTTCTTCTTAAGATACCTACCTGAAAGAGGAAATATTTGTGTGACTAAAAAGCCCATGAAACAGCTGCTCGAGGCCTTTCACACTTAGTCTTTTTGAGATTCTAACGCCATATACAGAAAACCCTTACCGCCGGCACTGGAAGACCTTGAGGTAGGCATGAGTGTGCTATTTCTGAGGTCGACCTTTCTGCCCTCCCTTCCTATTGGGAAGGCAGCATCAACATAGCACTGCTTGTCAAACAAGGGAAACACCTTATTGCTTTCACTAACCATCCAGTTAGCAGCAGTACGACTTTGTCCTCGGATCCCATCATAGTCTACCGAGCTGCACTACAACGTTAACTACTTTTCGTCTTACCATTATCCAACAGACCTTTCTCGTGTGGTAGGACTTCTAGGGAATAAACCTTCCACCAGCATATCTCATTGGGTCATTTTGGCATGCAAGCCTGACCACCACATCAATATAGCAGCTATTCCCAGATAAATTTGGATGAGGCAAGATGGACTAGATTTTGCAGAGTAAAGTGATGTCCTTTCATTTCAAAGTCATTTTTCCCACTTGCTTCCGTTCTAAAATCACGGTGGTTGTTAGTATGCAAGGTAATTTAAATATTCCTATTGAGTTATAAAGGAATAAAGACTTCGGCAAAGATATTTGTTTTCGGCAATAGTATAGTAGCATTTATATACATGGCTAGTGTGCACAGAAATGTTAATAATTGTTAATCATTAATTCTGAGCACTTTCTTGTCATAAAAGTAATATAGGAATGGAGATTAAGCAAGAAATATGAAGATATTTGACAAAGCGAGTAAATGTGAATTGATACCAAAGTGTAAAGTATTCGTAAGAAAGTGAGTAGACAATATTAGAAATATACAGATCGTAGTTGTTACAAATGTACTGGAATACATAGTGCCATGGGTTTGTTTTAATGATTGCAAGAGTAGATTTTGTTTTATACAATTCCTGTATGTTTAGAAAACCGAAATAAGGTTTTCTATTCTTTTGTCATGGCGATTAGTTTGTCAGATATTAATATTTTCAAAGCAGCTGGTTCTGGTTTCGTTAGGTTAGAAGCAACAGGCTTCTGATTTTCTATAATAGTTTAGACTTAATGACCTACCACATACGCACCTACTTTTGGTATGTGATAAAATTGGTTCTAAGTTGATTTCATTGTTGGTATAGGTTTTCTGAAAACCCCTCCCTCCAGTCCTTTCAACGTACTTGATACCGTAAGTGCATGTTAATTCATAAAGGTAGTTGAAAATGATATGAGCAGAATATTTATCCAATTAAGACTGGTTAATTAAGCATGTCTACCGTAAACGAATACAAGTTTGACTGCAAGAAAGCTTCTTCTTAGCGATTCTCTGATTCTCATGTCTATTCTATTGGATATTGCGTCTCCCTTGAATGCAAGATGAAGAGAATCTCTCTTTTTAACATTTGGTGCTCAGTTTATGTGACCTATTCCTTTCCGTACTCCATAAGAAATCTCTTAGTATATCAATTCTCTCTAAGACACTTTCCAGTAATGTTTAATTCTTCCTATTTTTCCAAAAAAAATACTTCTAGCTCTATAGTAAAGTTTTTTGACTACTCTGCGCTGCAAGCTGGTATGACTGAAACTGTTATAGAAAAGGTATTGTTCCA